GTTGTCCCAGGGGTAGTCGTCCTAGAAGCTGTTCACACCGGCAGAGATAGCGCGGTCTAGCGCGCGCTAGACCGCGCTATCTCTGCGGTGTGGAAGGTACAACGTCGTTTCGGTCCGCCAAACAGCGAGCCACGGCGAGCCAAAACGGCGTGCCACTGGAACACCTCTTGGGGTGGCCCACGAGAGATAGCACGGTCTAGCGCGCTAGACCTCGCTATCTCTGCCGGTGTGAACCCGAGCTACGATAGCACGCCGGAAGTCATCGTTCTACACGCGGGGAATTTTATACTCATTCTATTTTGGTGCGATCTAAATCGGTACAACTCAACACTCCTAATTTTATGGAGTAAAACGCGTCGGAACATCGTGAAAAAAGAAATATATAGTAAGTAATGTTGGACCTGACTTTACTAAACGTACTTTTTTTCGCTGTTTTTCGTGGGTTGGCAGGTTAACTACGGGTTCGTAATAGCGCGCGAAATCTTTGACCGCTCTGACCTCATGGCGTCACGCGTCATGGCAACAGGACCTCTCAAAAAAGGGAGTGCTACGATAGACCGCGCTATCTCACTGCGGTGTGAATCCGGCGAAAGCCAATGTGCGGACCGTGGGTCGCGCTACGATAGCGCGATCCACGGTCCGCCCACGGTCCCCCTTGCGGTGTGAACAGCCTCCTAGAGGGTGGTTTCCCTACAGGGTTCTTGTCCTAGGGGGTACTTGTCTGGGGGGTACTTGTCCCGTCGGTATTCATCCTAGAGGGTGGTAGCCCTAAAGGGTAGTTGTCCTAGGGGGTAGTTGCCCTAGGGGGTAGTTGACTGGGGGTGGTTATCCGGGGTGGATGTCCAAGGGGTAGGAGTCCTAGAACCTAAAAGGGGTATATTCCAATGTCTAAAAACTTTGACATTTTTGCTATGAGATTTCCCTTTAAAGGTGCCCTTTTTTCCAGAAAGTGCCCTGTTTTTTGGGTGCCCCCCTCCCCCCCCCCCCAATTTGGAAGTCGCTCCGCCGCCTCTGGTCCTGGTGACACGCAAGGAAGCGTTCTCCAAAGGTCTGTGACATGAAACCAATTTTTCGCCAATTTAATTTGCTACCCATCAGATCCCGGATTCACTACAGTACACTTTTCCCGATCTTTAAATGCATCAAGTTAAGTTCCTCCCTAACTATTAGAACTCGTGCCTTTCAGCAATCCATCAAAGTACTCCCCCAGCTCCTGCATATCATGTTTCAGTTGAACTATCTCCCAAAACGCTTCCAACACTCGGTGACTGAGTTTCCAAAATTGCTTCTCCCAAGCGGCAGAATAATGTACCCAGATTTCTCCGTCGCCAGCAATCACTCAACACCTTAAAATTACCAAAACCGCACCTCTTTTCTTTTATGCTCCCCTAACTCCAGCAGTGAGGAAGTTGATTATTGTAAGCGTATCATCACAAGTACATCATACAAGATGCTTTTAGACATAATTTGGCAAGGATTATAGTGGCCGTAGTATGAATATTTGAGCATATTGCTCCGGTTGTCTCATTTTCGCTCGCTGGACCATTGCCAGCACAAACGTAGCTAGTTCGACGTCACTACCAAACAAGAATGTTTCACTATGTTGCAGGGCCATTGGTATGATGTGTGAACCGAGTGTGCGGAAATGGTGTGTTGGGGAGGGGAAGTGAGAGTGTTCGTGTGTGCGGTAATTGTATGTGTGTCAACAATTAAATACTAATAAATGACAGATGGCTAATCATAAATCTACAATGACGAGTAAACTGTCTACATCACAGTCCACATATAAATGTGCCTTGAACGTATAGCAGACGGCAATCGGTAGATCAGATGACACTTGATAGTGATTTTGAAAGTGAGATTGCTTTGCTAAATATAAAATACAAGAACTTTTTCCATATCTCTAAACTATCATTGATATCTGATAATTAAACAGTTAGTAAAATAAACCTGCCAAACTACATAATACAATGAAATACTTGACTGAAAGTAGGGGAGTTTGATGTGGTGCACAATTGCACCCCTCTGTAAATAATCGAATAGTCCATGGCGTGTCACGAATATTCATGTTTGGCTTAACTCGGCAAAATGAATTTTTAACGATTTTTGGGGTAAAAGTCCTTAGGCTAACATGTTAGGCTGCTGGACTCTGACGATAGGGGCGTTGTCCAATGAGACTATTCGGAGCCATATGATTTAGATTCTCACCTGGAAAATTGCCAAATACACCGAAGAGACCAATAGCAATTCCGATATCCGTCGATGTCGTTCAAAGACTATTGCTGATGTATTTCAAGTAAAATCCAATAGTCTTGATAATACCTACATCACTGGATGCCCTCAAAAAGGTACACAACACCAAAGGTAAATTTGGAGAAGTTAAAATCTCATGACACCGCCCCATTATAGGCTTTAATAGCTTAGACAGATACAGAGATTTGATAGGTCCAGAGCTCGTCACGTGATATCAATTATGTGGGTCCAAATTGTTAAATTTTCCTGGCCGGTCACTTTTCGACGTTATACCAGCTGGTGAAATAAATACGTTTTTAATCAATGCATGTTGCCCTCTTGAGGACTGGATGTCACCAATTACACCATTTACACCGAGGGTCATTTTCAATTCAATTTTTTTTTCCCAATTTTTTTTTTTTTAAAGAATTTCTTTTTTTAAGTTTTTTTTTTTCTTCTTGAATTATCTCTAAATATTATTTTTCACTAAACTTCTTTTTCTTAAATTTTGATTGTCACCGAAAAAAAAATCAAACCAAGGCTATCTAATATAACAGTTATTGACTGGCAGGGGGTATATAACATTCTTTGGACCTGAAGGGAGTTATATTTTCCCTCAGCGCTGCGCGCTTTTGGAAAATATAACCACTTGGGAAATATAACTCCCTTCAGCAGTCCAAATAATGTTACATTACACCCCTGCCAGTCAATAACTGTATAATATTAGATAGCTTTAAGATACCGCGATGTGATTGGTCCAGAGCTCGTCACGTGATATCAATTGTAAGGATCCAAAATGTTATATTTTCCTGGCCATTCACTTCTCAATGTTATATTAACCAGTTGGGGAAATGAATATATTTTTAATCAATGCAATGTCACCCTCTTGAGGACTATATGTCATCAATTACACACATTACACAATTACCGAGTGTCCTTTTTTCATAAATCTTTTATTCCCCTTGAAATTATTTTTTCCCAAATTTTAATTTTTCCCAAAAAATTCTTTTTTGGGTAAGAATTATTATAATTTTTTTTTTCTCCCTTGAAATTAGTTTTTCCAAATTTTGTTTAAAAGTATTTTTTAATTTTTTTTATTGAATTATCTTTTTGCAATTGTTTTTCTAAAATTTTGGTTGTCCTAGAAAAAACAATTTCGGGCATAAACAAAATATGGACACCCCCCCCCCCTAAAAAAAAAGAAAATCAAACAAAGGCTATCTTATATAACAGTTATTGACTGGCAGGGGGTGTATAACCTGAGCATACCTGATCAACTCTGTTTCAAAATACAACCCCACACGAAGTCTTCGCTCCTCATCAGACACACTATTACTTAATACACCCAGAATAAAACATGCTTGGGGGGAACGGGCTTTCTCAGCCATGGGTCCAAAACTGTGGAATAAACTCCCTCTAAAATAACGTCAACTGTCATCGACAGAAGCATTCAAATTACAACTAAAAACCTATTTGTTTCTTTCGTTGTAATTATTGCAATATTCTAATTTACTATGTCTAGGAGAATTCCGAATTTGTTTTTCGGTTTATTGTTTTTTCTTTCTTATACCTGTTACATGTACTCTTTTCTAAGCGCCATGAGCACCGAAAGATGGACCTGTGCGCTATACAAGTAGCCACTATTAATATTATTATATTATAACATTAACCTGAAGGGAGTTATATTTTCCCTCGTGACCATATTTTCCCTCAGCGCCGTGCGCTTTGGGAAAATATAACCACTTGGGAAATATAACTCCCTTCAGCGGTCCAAATAATGTTATATTACACCCCCTGTTCGTCAGTAACTGTATAATACATACAACAAATTCGTACTTCACTTCTGTAAACAGAGTCACATACACGACACGTACAATAAACGTGCAGAATATAAATATCAGTATCCCATTGTTCTGTAGGAGCTCCAAACGTCTATGTACCGTTGAACAGTTTTGAGTGAATACAAGTTATGTACTTTGCTCCCTCGCATAATACCCTTCAAAATGTACAAGGAAATATTGTAAAAGATCTGCATTCCGTTTGTATCACCGTGATCACTGGCTGCACCCCTGGGCCCCACTAGGTGCCCTCGGGTGACTGGGTATTAATCTCATTTTTCTTTATGAAACAAAGAATATTTCTCAAGATCATCAATTCCAACTGTCGAGGTTTGTTGTTTGCTGAAAAAGGAAATAACTTCTTTTCACGCAAAACTGTTCAATCGGACAACTATGCAAATTGAATAAGAAGGTTTGTAAAAAAAACGCGTCGAAGGGCATTATGACGCACATAAACTTAGGTTTGTCGACAAACCTCCTTAGTGAATTCGGGCCACGGAGTTATATCAATATTACTCTCGTCTATGTTACATGTCGTATATGTTACCCAGCTTACAGAAGTGAAACACGAATTTATATTTTGTTTATCATTTCATCATAGCCTACCATGGCAGTGGCGGATCCAGGGGGGGGGCCGGGGGCCCCGGGGGCCCGGGGCCCCCCCCCCCTTGAGAAAAAAATCATGTAAAATCACGTGATTTTTACCTTTTTAGGGGTTGGGCCCCCCCTGGCGCTCAAGGGGGGGGGGGTGCAAATTGAAATTTTTTTGAGGATCAAAAAAAAAAATGTGCTCACTACCCCCCCCCCCCCCCCCCCCCCCCCCCCCCCCCCCCCACTGAGCGACTTTTCGGCCGGCGCGATTTTCAAATTTTCGGGAGCAAAAAAAAAAAAAAGTTGGGTCCCCTCCCCTAAGAAATCCTGGATCCGCGCCTGTACCATGGGTCGTGTTCATGATATTTTAACTTCCCCCAGTTTACCTTTGGTGGTGTGTACCTTCTTAAGGACATCCGGTACTGTGGGTATTATGAAGACCATTGGAATTTACTTGGAAGATATCAACAAAAGTCTTGGAACGACATCGACGGATCTCGGAATTGCTCTTGGTCTCCTCAATGCATTCTGCCACTTACCAGGTGAGAATCTAAATCTCAACTATTCCTACTGCGACCACTCCAATCCTTTTCCAAATCATCTCTAAAATCGTCATGCACGTTGCACTTTTGATGATTCGCTACACAATAATCAACTACCTCACCGCTGGAGTTAGGGGATCATTTATCAAGAGTTTTGAGCGATTTAGATAGTGGATCACTACAATAAACGTAGGACAATATCGTTAAACATAGTAAGACAAGATAGTTTAATGTGTGAGGGACAAGAGTAGGTAGTAGCATGAAACAATAACGTAAACTTTGTATGCCTACGATTGTGTACGTTGACATTGGCATGTGCGTGAATCAACGGGACTACAATCTCATGCGTCAGTATTACCTCTTTTAAAAAAATAGTTGTATTGTTAATTCGTTGCCCGACTTTTCTCAAAATTTACATTTTTCAGATATACATAGGTTTAATAAATTATATACACATTTAATGTGCAATTAAAGATACTGTGTCCCTTTTGCAGCCAGCATCAAATGCTGTAGAACTTTGCAGGAATTATGAATATGTCATGTACAAAAATGTATAAGAGAGGTATATACTTGCTTCATCAAATTATTACTCCTCAAGGTCTTCGTAAAACCTTCCAGTCATTGAAGAACGAATTCGAGAGCATAGTTCACTGCCTGGGCTGTTGAGGTCTTAAAGCGTAACACGGTGCCTAAGCTACTGAAAAATGAGTCGTTGCGCACAGCGCGCCCCTTTGCATAATAATACATCTAGATACATGTATGCTGCTCGCTTGAGCTAACTACATTGTAGCTGGTCGCAGCAATGTTTCGCCGAATTTATATTCAAAAATAATATGTACAGGGGGAGGCAACAACAAAAAAGGACGCTTTCTGGGGGAAAGGGGCACTGCCACCGATAATAGGCAACACAAAACCACGACAATCTGATTCGCCACCAAAGACAAGCATTACACATCCCAAAACCGCCACAATAACTCCCAAAACATAACAGTCAGGATGCTAATGTCTACGTGTCAAGATTTCTGCGATAACGAACACTTTATTAACTAGTCTTGGCTCCAAGCACACGCAGGCGCGTCACACCTCCCTCCTTAAAACAGAAAGCTATGTTTCCTTTCACAATCTTTTTTTGATATGCTCAATGGTATTTTTTTTGTGCTCATAGCTGTCCTAAATAATCGATAATAATATTATTGTAATATATTGTGTAAACGTATATTCATTTGATGATAACTATTTGATGTATTTTAGACACTGTATATCAATTACAATACTGAGCCCGAGAGTGTTCTTGTCTGCATACAGCTCCTTTCCTTGCTGCCCTCTATCGTCACCATTCGACTCGTCGTCTGCTTCTGATATCTGGTACATGTCTCCCTCCAATAGGCGTGGCTTTGACATCCATGGCAACCAGCAACGCCCAAATGGTAATTTATCCGTCAATTACCGGTAAGAAACTGTGCACCAAACCTACTAACAATGTTGAAAGACCTTTCTTTGTTTAAACCTTACAGTTGATTACATTATAGTTTTTCGTAAACAGTTAGAAGGGGAGATTAAATTAACTTACTCTCATCAAATCACTAATTTGAAGATAATAATAAAGGACTTTTGTGAGCCATTATTTTAACTGTCTTGATGTCAGAATAATAAAAAGAAAAATCGCAGTAAAATGTAGCACATCTCAGGCGCGGATCCAGGATTTTCCAATAGGGGGGGGGGGGGGGGGGGGGGGGGGGGGGGGGGGGGGGGAAATTCGAAATTCGCGCAGACCGTTATTTAAACTTACCAATACTGACAGGGTCATATTAGAAGCACTGTACTTTAATAGTGTACTGGTGCCTACAAACGGGCACAATTATTTTGGAAAGGGGACATGCTCACGTCACATCTTTTGTCCGATATCAACATTCCCCGTTTTCATGTTATGCTCGCTCGCAATTTTTTTGACATTTCCATCAGTGGGGGCTAAAGCCTCTTGCCTCAATATTTATTTCCTGGTTTAATAATTTGGCGAATGAGCGGAAATTTGAGCTTATGTATGTTGTGAAAAGTGTTAATTGTCACCAAAATATACGAGATAAGATATAACAAATGCATATTGGTAATTTTTAAATTTTCGGGGAAAGAGAGGTTGCAACCCATCCCGCATTAACTGCAGGTGTTTTGAAATCAAATCAGACTCCCCAAAAAAGTATTAACCAAAACGCACGAATCCAGTTTCAAAAATCCAAAAAAATGTCAGCTTCAGAGGGGGGCACACCACCCCTCAGACTCCCTCTAAAAGTATCAATCGAATCGCACGAATCCAGGTAAAAAAAAAAAATCAGCTTCAGAGCTAGAGAGGAACCCCCTCCCCCCCCCCCCACACACACACACACATAGACACCCCCTGTGCGCGCAAGCGTGAAATTAACGCTGGCGCTAATGCGTAAGCAGGGGCGGCGGAGCTATTTCCAAAGTGGAAAGCACCAACAAAAAAGGGCAACTACAAAGCGAAAATATACATTTTTTTTTAGACATTGGTATATACCCTTTCATTGTGATTCCATTATCAGGGACGATTTCAATGTTTGATTTTCTTTATCATACAAGATATTGCTTAAGCATCACACTTTCGGCTGGGTGTGATTGTCTGAATATTCGTTTGTGAGCGAGCAAAGCGAGCGAGAAAAAAATGTAAGGTCTGTGAGGTCGCAGAGTGAAAAATTAAGAGGAAAAAAACAAATCATGGTGGGTTATAAGCATCACGGAAGACTGAAAAAACATTTGTTTTAAAGTGACATATAATTGTATCATCTATAAATGCGAGGGAGCGAGCGAGCTTTAGGGGAAATTACTCTTAGTCGCTTTAAATTAGGTGCAAGACTAATGATGAGCAGGTTAGGGGGGCACGTGCCCCCCCCCCGTGCCTACGTGCCCGATGATGAGAGGTTAAGGGGATACAAATCGAAAGGGATAAAGACACTTATTAGAAAAGAAAAGGAGCATGTGTCAAGGTACAAAGAGTAATTATCAAAGGTTCAAACGGGGCACTTCTTACACCTGAAAGGAGGCACTCACCAGAAATGAGATAGGGCACTTATGAGTATGGGAAATGGGTATTTGTCGACGGAAAAGGGGCATCCATCAGAAATTAATTTATCAGAAGTGAAAAGGGGCATTTATGAAAAGGGGATAGGTCCCTTATTAGAAAGGAAAGGGGGCACGATTCAAAATAAAAGGGCAGTTAGCAAAGGTGAAAATGGGCACCCATCATAGATGAAAAGAGTTCTTATCAGGAGGGGAAGGGGTACTTTTCAAAGTAAAACGAGCATCTCTCAGATTTGAATAGGGGCAATTATCGGAGGTGAAGAGCGCACTGAAGTGAAAAGAATTAACTTCTCATATATGAAAATGGTCATTTACCAGAGATGAAAAGGGACACTTTCTATTTATGAAGGGTCTCATTTTTCTAAATAGCCCTTATCAGATAGGAAAGGGGGCACATGTGTTGAGGAAATGTGCGCTTATCCGAGTTAAAAAGGGGAAGGGGCACTTCTTTATAAAGTAAAAGTGGCCCTTTGGGGGGGGGGGGGGGGTACTTGAAGAGTGGGGCGAACTTTGCCCCCTACCCCTGCCACCCGCCCCATCATCTGAAAATCCAAAATGATGTTGTAGGGGCCGGGCGCGGCTTTATCATGAGTGCTTTTATGTGAACCTCTTTTTTATAAATATTATGGCCCGAATTCACAAAGGAGGTTTGTCGACAAACCTTGGTTTTCGTACGTCATATGACGCGTTTTACGCGTTTTTTACAAACCTGGTTTGTAAAGAACAAAAGGAGATTTGGCGAAACAAAAGGAGGTTTGAGCTCAAACCTTGGTCTGAGCTCAAACCTTGCTTTGTGAATTCGGGCCATTATGCTGGATTCCGACCCAGAATGCACACTCTATGATAGTATGATCATCCCCAATACGCTTGTAGTTAACGTATGCACCCCTTCTCCTAATCCGTCGTTACCGTCACTGCCATTTACGTATGGCCGGTGTCATAGGCGATTTGTTCCGTGCAGGCGATCGGTTCCTCCGGAACCGATCGCCTGGATATATACCCGCCGATTTGTTCCGGATTCGTAGATTCGTTCCGCTAGTCACAGGCGATCGGTTCCGGCCAGGCGATTCATTCCGTGGAACCAATCGGCGGGATATTTAGCCGCCGATCCGTTCCGAATCTCATCGGAGAGCGTGCGTGCTCACGTATTATTGAATACACGCCATGGTACACCCCTAAAGCAAAATGAACTATTCTGGTCGGCCTTTGCAACCAATCAAACTTCTCCAAATTAGCTACACCAACGATTGCCAATTTGAGAACTTTGTATAGAAATGCAGATTCCCGTTGTTCAAATATGTTGATAATTGCGGCCAATGATTGACCACAAACAGTAACTATAGACAGCGCCGTCGCGAAGCGACGGGGACTGGGTCGGGTCTAGCAAAAAGGGCAGTTGTTGCCATAGGCTTAGTTTGCCTGTAAAAGCAGATGTCGGGGTGTTTTCTAATCAGGCCTTCTAATTTGGTTTGAATGCTGCTTTATATGATATCGTGTTACGTCAACCACCTATTACCGGGCTTCATCACAGAATCTAATTATGCATGTTGGCTGCATGAATGATGTACATGTAGTTTAAATGAAAGAGATGCGGGGGGGGGTGGGGGGGGGGGGGCCGGGGTCAACACAAAAAGTGGTCGAGCTGATAATTAAGAAGGACCAATAAAAAAAAAAAAAGAAGAAAAGAAGAGAAAGAAAATTCCTCAAGTAAAAGACGTGTCCGGCAGAATAAAAAAAAAAAGAAATAAAAGAAAAACCCGACATATTTTGTTGAATTTTCAACCCTTGGTACTAGCCGACAAAAGTTAGTGTTAAACAGAGCCATAGCATAGTGTGTCTATACCCCCCCCCCCCATTCCGCTACATACAGTGGCAGATCTGTTGCGCCCCCTTGTTTGGAAACCACTAATTTCACGTACATTTTCACGTTACGTGAAAATGTACGTGAAATTAGTGGTTTCCAAACAAGGGGGCGCAACAGATCTGCCACTGTATGTAGCGGAATGGGGGGGGGGGGGGGGGGCTATGTAGGCCTAATATCAGAAAACTATCGCCTGCCCCCCCCACCCCCCCCCCCCCCCGTGCCGAGTATGCACGTGCGTGCATGCATATGATATACATGTACTCTATGCGCATATACTAGTCAGTAGGTTATTTATTTATTTATTTTTCGTACCGCGCGCGGGTAATTCCGTACGAGGTTATAAACCTTATTATTAAGTAATATTTCAAAAAAAATAATATTGGTTTTCATTCCAACAATAAATACAAAAGTATCAAGATAAAGCTAAAATTTATTTTTACCATGTTTATTCGACACAAGTAATAAAAATATACGCGATTATATAAGCAGAAACGTTCGGCCAATGTCGGATAAGAACGGCGGCTTTCGAACGTATCTGCGAACGAGTCGATCCAGTAGATTCGTTCCTCGGAACAAATCGGCGCGCCGATTTGTTCCTCGGAACCCGGAACAAATCGCCTACCACACCGGCGTATTTTTTTATTTACACGCTAGCGAGGGGAATTTCTCGATTAATTCCAATGAAACCGCTTAAAATTCCCATGAAACCGCTCGCGAAGAGTCTAGCCTGGATCGGAGAGCTCGCTAGTGCTATACGCTAGTGTGAATTTACATCCAGGAGAAAGTTTGCTTAACTTTTTCTTGAAACACTTGAACGGTTATGGAAACTGTTTGTGTTTCTAATCTCCAAATATTAATATTATTCTGCATCAAATATAAAACATTGATTTCTACTGTGATATGTAAAGGCACGAACTTACGTTAATACATACACATATTTTTTTTGTAACCAAGAAGATGCACCATGGTAATACATTTTAACAAACACATCAACATGTTACCTAGACAACTCATCACCATATCCATTGTAAAACCATATATTAATGATACATGTAAAATATAGATTGAAGCAATTCTTGTCAATTGGCTGTATCCTGAGTGTGATTTATATAATGGATTTTGAGTAACATTTGCATCTACCTGTAGTTGAAGAATAGATACAGTGTATAACATCAATTAAGTTGGAGTTCAATTGGAATGAAGTAACGAGGAATATTAAAGCAAGGGAGACTGGGAGATGAGGAAAGCAGGAAGTTAGAAATTGAGAGATTACTCGCGAGATAGCCTTGCGTTAATGAATCCTTTATATAATGTTGTCTTGAGAGAAAGTAGACAATTTTTTTTTAAAATTGGAGATTAGTGCAAGTATTAGATATATTGGAAATAGAATTAATGAGAAAGTTATTATTTTTTTATCGAGATCAATACATGGGGGGGGGCACCATCAAAATAGGGCACTTTCCGGAATATAAGGTGCACCTACAAAGGGAAACATCAAAATGTAAATCTACCATATTAAGACATTGATAGACGTACGCGTAACGCATGTCACACACAGAAAATGAGAAGAAAAGAAAGAATAATGTTTTTAAAAAAGAAGATAGAGGAAAAGGAGAGAGACAGAGAGAGGGAGAGAAAGAAAGAAAGAAAGAAAAATGGAAGAACATGAAACTTAACTTTACACTTAGGCCTACATATTACATTTCCGACTGAGTTGGCTCGACATGTGCTTAATTAGTCTGCGGACGAAAGTACAACAATACGAAAACAGAAGTTATATGAAATTGTCTTTAAGAGAGAAAGAGAGGTTAAATTCTAAAATGAAATGAAAGGGGTTATGTGACTCTCAAGGAGGAAATTACAATTTATATCGCTCATGACGACTATTTGGAATTTCCTAATTTTTTTTAAAGTTCAAGAACTTCCTGGGGCTCCGCCCCATGCAAGACTCCCGGCAACAGCAAATTCTTTACACAATTTCTTGCTGTCTGCTGCCTCGAGATCACTGGAGCGAAGAAAGGTAACATATAGCAAGAATCCCTATTCAGTGAAGGATTTATCCCTTTTATTATTAAAGACTCCCAACAAAGGCTCTCCCCCTGCAAAATTGGAGAGAGTTATATGTAGTTTTAGCTTCTAACAACCACGCCCGTGGACCTTTTATTATTTACACAAAGGTAAAAGTCGGAGGTATAACAACCTATGCATTTTTGGAATCCTTATGACCAGACGAGTAATTTGATATGCAATTTAATAAGGTTCAATGTGTTGGTGAATTTGACCACCAGTCAAAAGTGTGTTGACCTTTCAACGTTTTTTTTATCATAGCGCCCTCATTTAAGGTCGGAGGTATAGCAAACTATACATTTTGGGATCCTCATGACCAGACGAGTAATTTGATATGCATATTGATACGATTGGAACTATTTGAATTTCTATCCCTGTGTGACCTTTGTTGACCCCTCACGAAAATGCCTGCATTCAAGGGGGCAGCCCAAGTCAAAATTGTTCGGTATTCATCAGGGAACATAAAAACACTTTCAAACCTTTGTTCCCAGAGATTGGTCACGGGACCTACAGGCTGGTCTCCTACTACTAGTACGGTTTTATTATGCCGCGTGCGTACACAGTTCGTCAGGTAGACAAAGGAACATCCCTTCCCTGCTATTATGTGAAAATGTGTATAATGGTGTCACATGCATATTCACCTGTTCCACACATTTTTACATAATAGCAGTGAAGGGATGTTGTTTTGTACTTACTTGTTACTTGTAGAGATAATCCCGATGGCAGCTATCATACAGCTAAACTGGGATGTCCGTGCAACGTGCTGGCATAGTGACAGTGCATGAAGTAATTCAAAACAGTGAATGATGTCTATTATTTACAATAAAACGGTGGACGTGCAAGTAAAAACCAAGACGTGGAGTCTACAGTAGCTTGGACCCAACAGGAGGAGGCAACGCCGCGTGCGCATACAGTTCCTCAGGTAGACAAAGGAACATCCCTTCCCTGCTATCATGTAAAAATGTGTAGAACAGGTGTCACATGCATATTCACAGCAATTTTTGAGGGTAGAATGAGGAACTGTATGTTTTGTCCTCTGTCTTTGTCCATCATATTCATAGTGTTACTTCCTGCATGAATGTATATCGTCGAGTGCAATCTAAAAGATTTCTAATTGTAGTCAATATGGGCAGTTGAGTACGTTGACACGCATGATCAGTCGGCGTTCGTCGTGTTCTCGTCCACTCAATCTAAAAGTCCCTATTGTTGAACGCCAAACAAGGTAGCAACAACTCCCATTTTTTAACGTTTGACGCACAAAAGAAACGATTGCCCGCGCTGAAGTGTTTGCTATTGCCTGGTAATTTATACGTAACGGTCCAATAGCGAAAAAGCCCGCACTTCTGCCTATTAACCAGAAAGCAAGAATCTTGAATGTAAGATAATATAATGCTTTTCAAACTTAAAGAATGATTTCATACAATTTGTTATCAGTTATATATACATTTATATTTTTAATGTTATTAAAGAGTGTCCATTCAATTGCTTTAATACTAGATTACATGCATTAATTGTTCATATTATTCAGTAATTTACTCTCCTGTAATTTTAGTTGGTGTTGTAAATATGTATATAACAATTAAAATCTCAAAGTATATGTTGCCCTTTTTCAAGGTCTAATACTTACTGGAATATGCTAATAGTTACTTTACATCGGATTTAAAAACTAATTACTGTCTATCCTATAATGTTAAATTAAAATATTATATGCAACAACGTTTTCTTGAACAAAAAAAGCAAAGCAAAACAAAGCAAACAAACAATTATGTTTATATTGCGAGGATACCAAATACTCTGTTTATATGTTCATGCATGTCCTTACCTATTGTTTATTGGTGTTATGAATTTATGTTCAAGATTTTGTTATCAATTAAAATATTATTATATATATTTTGTTAAACTATAATGTACCTCATTATGTTTAACAGGGCTTCATAAAAGACTACCATTATTGATGCTAATGAGCCACCTCGTCTAAATATCAGAAATAAAAAAACAAATCAATAAATCAATACATTATTATATACCTTCCCTAAAACGTGGAGTAAGACATTTTTTCTTGTACATTTTGCAATATATTTGGATATGATGATTAAATGTAAAAGGCCCCATCTCTTTTCTATTCAATGAACAGGTCTTGGATATTGTATGGTTAATATATGTTGTATCATGACATTGCATCGTTTTGCTAAGGAGAATTACAACCTACTTTTCAGCCTTGGTTTGACTGGATATGGTGCCGGAATGGTTCTGTTACCGCTCTTAGCTGAATTCTTACGTCAAGCATACGGTTGGAGAGGTGGACTGCTCATCATAAGCGCTCTGATGGCACATATTATCCCAGTTGGCATGGCAATTAAGTTGGAATTAGATGAGAGTAGCACACAGAGAAATGGTTTTCAGAGTGTCCCAAGTTCTCCCAAGGGAGAAGAATGCAACACCAGCACAAGTCAGGACATAACAGGTGAGTTCAATCGGAAAATCCTATTAGAGCGACAATGTCGGTCTCGTGGACCTTCAACAGGGCCAAAAAGACCAGTATGTCGGTCTTGTGGCCATTTTGTTCTCGTCGGCATTTAACCATGTCGACAGTTTGCTCGAAGATTCGATAGACCTACATTGTCGGTCTCGTGGGCTGTTAGTCTCGTGTGCTCTTGCCGGGACTGGTTAGTCTACGAAGACTGGTATAAATTATAAATCATTGTCGACAATACGTAACCTTGTCCGACTTTAACATACATGCTTTGATGCTAATTAATATGCGCCATCTCGGAAACAGATCATTTTATGGACATGGATGAGGGTTTTGCCCCGCCTACTAACGATGAAATGTGATGAGATCAGGAAACTTACTATATACATCACAATAACCATACAAAGGTCTAACTCTTGAGATGATATTATGACCTTCGACCAGAGAAGGGAATTGTAGATTTGATGTTCATTTTTTTATTATTTCATATGTAATAATCATTATCATAAAATTAATGAGAGACCTACATATAACATATGTAGTGTGCGATGTAAAAGGTGATATCGTTCCAAATGTGTTTCGGACATTAAACCTCTTTTTTTATGGCCTTTTTAATTAACTCTTCTTTAAAGATGAAAACAGAGACGACAACGGAATTTTTCGTAGGATCACCAACAGTCTTCGCCAATCTGATTTGTACGTGGATCCTATATTTATTTTGGTATATGGTGTTACCTTGGCGTCGCATATAGTTTGGAGTGGTTGGCACTCCTTTCTTGTACCGCATGCTCTGCAGAGGGGAATCTCGGTCCGGAACACCATTATCATCACTTTCTCAGCTGCAATAGGGAATGCCTTAAGCAGGGTTGCTGTTGGTTCCCTTACCAACAGCCTCGTCAAACCTGTCGACCTCTTTCTCTTCGCTACAATCTTGGACATCGCTGCTCTTCTGTGCAATGTATATTTCGTCAACTACTACGCCATGTTGGTGACTACATGTATCTCCTCCGTGGCAATAGCAGGGAAGGCGGTGTTGAGTCAGCTGATCGTGAGGGATAGAGCGTCTTCCCAAAAGTATGATGTCGCGTTTGCAGTCGACCAATTTTTTATCGGATTCGGGATGATTCTTGGTGGCTATTTGAGTGGTAAGGAATCACCAACAACGTAAAATGTAAATTAGCCATTAAAATATCTTTTTGTGTAAGCAATCACAATATAAACAAATATTCTTTTAAATTAGCTTGAATTGAATGAAAATAGTTTTTTTTTTCAGGTTGTTTCCAGAAAGGTTAAAATCTGATTTACAACCTTCATTAGAGCGAAAAGATTGATTTGATAAGATTTATTCCAAATATTCATTCTCCCCGAGATTCTAACAGTTGATTTTGAATGATATTAAAGGTAAAGACCAGTATTGGAAACGTCCCAATTTTAAAAAATGAAATGGAAGCTCTCATTACCAATCATGTGAAAGAATATGTTTTGACTAATACATGATGATAACAACTTTGCCGGGAAACCGCCTACTAATTCATATATTTGGTAAATTTGTTTCTCTCATGGTCTGTGAGAGATATAGGGTAGTCCCATATACATCTTTCTGTGTATAGTGCTTGTAACTTTACGAAGAATGGGCCAAATTTCTTATCATTTTGATGATTCCAGAACCTTGCAGATGCTAGATGCTAGATGATAAACCTTTTCTGATCGATTCCACAACGTTTCTTTCACAATGCAATCGCATGACCATAACTGGTCTTTACCTTTAATTAAACACGAGCATGAACTGAATTGTTCTACATGTAACTGCTTACAAAAACTTATAATGTTGTTAATTGCAAGGTAAACAGAAAAAGGCATATCAAATTTAGTAGGTTTGAGGTACGGTTCCCTACCGGTTACTAAAAGCTCGTTTGCGTTGCTGGCTGCCATGGATATCAAAGCCACGCCCATTGGCGGGAAACATGTGCTATATATCTGTGGCTGCAGCGAGGTCGATTTCAAATAAATAGTCAAAACAAAGGCTTCTACGGGAATTTGTAGCTTTAATTGGAGTCATTTTCGTTCCAGTAAATTCCCGTAGAAGCCTTTGTTTTGACTATTTATTTGAAATCGACCTCGCTGCAGCCACAGTGAAAACTCTTTGCCTGACATAATGACAAATCTTAAGACTGAAATCTCCTTGATGCTCTGTCAAAAAGGGGATTCTTGGACCTCAGCACAACCATGTTAATGTAGCCTTCTGAGTGTTTGATATCAAGTGGTTATCAATAGGTGGCGCTATACTAGGCACCTTGCCTGAGGAAGTGCTATTACAAATATATGTGTGTTCATGTCATGCATCAATAATACAAAAACAAATGACTTGGGTGATAACTTAATTAAGTGCAACTGTCACAACATGGCTCCTTTAAATTAAGAATTAATTTACCCTAAAAACGCCATTACAAATAAACAAAATGGTCGACAGCCTCGGCTAAATCTAAAGCATCAGAATACAATTGTAAAGCTTAAAACTTGCATAGCATTATATCTGTCGCGTCGCTTAAATTCAAAATCACACAAGTACGAACAAAGTACTCATGTTATAATACACTGTCCACAAAATGGAATTACGGTAAGTACATATAATCAAAAAGAAGCATTTAAATGCCGAATCTTAGATTATACTTCATATTCTTCAAACAGTCATCCGTAATCTCGATCGGACACTAGAAAAAACATAAATATACATCAATTAGATATCAGTATTCTTGACTTGAGTCTGTACTTTGCACATTCACTGAATTAAATTCTCGGTGAATTAGAGTTCAAATTAAAGGCAAATGTCTGCAGTTTGATCATTTAAGTTATAGTTCGTAAATAAAAGTATCAGTCTTCAGTCCTGTGGCTCCTTGGCCGGGAATTCTTCCTGGTCTACGTTCGGAACAAGAAGAACTAGCTTGTGGATAGGGCGATCGAGGTAACTCACTTGGTTATTTCGTTTTCCCTTATGATCTAGATTCCTATCCCCTACCGCAATTCTAACTTTACGAATATAGTCATCTTTGGATTCGTATACCTCAACGATTCTTCCAAGAGGCCATGTATTTCGTGGGGCGTTAACGTCCTTGATGATCACTACGTCTCCAACTTTCATGTTGCGACGGGGCTTGGTCCACTTCTGCCGCGACTGCAACTGACTGAGGAACTCCTTCCTCCAGCGACACCAGAATTCATTCGCCAAATGTTGCACTCGTCGCCAACGCTTCCTCGCGTAGACGTCCTCTCGAGAGAAACTCCCAGGAGGTGGAAGAATGACCCTCGATTTTTGAGTCAACAGATGATTAGGCGTTAGTGGAGTTGGATGAGTTGGTTCGTTCAGAAAATCGGTGGTCAGCGGGCGACTGTTTACAATGGCTGCTGCTTCGCACATCAAGGTCCTCAAGGACTCGTCATCTAGTTGCTGACCCGCCTGATGAAGCAGAGCATCTAGGACTTGACGTATTGAACGAATTTGTCTCTCCCACACTCCACCCATGTGGCTTGAAGCAGGTACATTGAATTTGAAGGCAATGAAGTCGCACCCCTCCCTCAGAAGAAAGTCCTTCACTCGATCCTTACTGGATTCAGCACATCGTCTAAACTCTGCCTCAGCACCAACAAAGTTTGTTCCCCTGTCACATCGTAGTTGTCTCACAGGGCCTCTCACAGAGATGAAACGTCTAAGAGCGTTGATAAATGCGTCCGTGGTGAGAGAGTTCAGAACTTCAATGTGTACACCTCTGGATGCCATACAGGTGAACAGTAGTCCATAACGCTTCAGTTCTTTCCGTCCTTCTTTGATTATCCACGGCCCAAAGCAATCAACTCCAGCATACGTAAATGGTGGGGCCGGGGTAAGACGGTCCTCTGGCAAGTTGGCCATTTTCTGCACTTGTAGAGAATGTCGAAGTCTGCGACAGATCACACACTGAGAGATGAATTTTGAGACGAAGTTGCTGCAACCCAAGATCCAAAATCCCTTTGCTCTGAGATGGTTGATAGTCATGCCCCTTCCTCCATGAGCAACATCAGTATGACAATGGGACACGATCAACTTGGTCAAATGGGTCTGAGGTAGGATGGCAGGATGTTTGCTTTCAAATGAGAGGTCCGACCCCCTCAAACGTCCTCCTACTCTTAGGATGCCATCATTGTCTATGAAGGGGTCAAGATGATGCAGACGACTGGTGGTCTTACAGTGACGTCTTCTTTCTCTTTCATTGTGCCATTTGTCACCCTCTACTGCTTTCATGACATCAAAGGTCCTCCTTTGAGTCAACTTTATGATCTCCTTTTCAGCTTGCAGGAGTAGTTCGGCAGATAGAGGTTCCATCACAACATTCTTGACACCATCTTTCTTTTCTCTCTTGTCCCGTCTTTCATAGTAACGTCTCTGTAAGTATGATCTGAGACGTAGACAGTTTGCCACAGCTCTCTTTGCTCGATACCAACTGGAGAGATGATCAAAACGTTCCAATTCGAGCTCGTCTACTTTCTGCACAGAGGCATGGGTTTGACTTTTCACTTCAGGATCTTTAGAAAGATCTACATCTTCCTCCTTTCCCTCATCTGGAATTTCCTTTTCCCAAAGGAAGTCTGGACCTGCAAGCCACTTTGATGATTCGACTTGATCAACCATAAGACCTCTTGATGCTCCGTCAGCTGGATTAACCTTAGTGCCGATATGCCTCCACTGCAAGGGTGATGATTCGTCTCTGATCTGGCGTACTCTATTTGCGACAAATACATGAAAGCATCTTGACTCGTTCTTGATGTACCCCAAAACCACTCGGCTGTCAGTCCAAAAGACCTCTCTGTCAAATTTGAGACCTAATTCCGTTCGAAGAAATGAGCTCATTCTCACTGATAAGACAGCTGCGGCGAGTTCCAACCTTGGCACTGTGACTATCTTGATCGGAGCAACTCTGGATTTACCCATCACGAGCGTACAATGTACTTTCCCATTCTCATTTGTCAATCTCAGGTTAGAACAGTGGCCGTAACCAAGGTTGCTTGCATCACAGAAATGGTGTATCTCCACATTCTTAATCTCCCCGAAGCCTTGTGGCTTGTAACATCTGTTGATGGAGATTCTTTCCAGTTGAAGAATGTCAGTTTTCCACCTATCCCATCTGGCTTGCAGCACGTCTGAGAGGGGATCGTCCCATGCAGCAGAGCTTCTACACAGTTCCTGAAGTATTAGCTTCCCAGGTAACAGGAGTGGGCTAACAGTCCAAGGGGGTCGTACACTGACATAACAGTCGATAGAACGCCTCTCCTGGTCAGTGGCTTATCTTGGAAGGTCATCCTAAAGCGAAACGTGTCAGATTCTACACACCATTGGACCCCGAGTGCTTTCTCGATGGGAAGATTATCGTGTAGAAGATTCAATTCTTTAACTTCCTTGGCTCTGTCTTCTGCTGGAACTGATTCAAGTACTTTCCTGGAGTTAGAGACGATTTTATGGACATGTAGCCCTCCATGTTCGCACATTTTCTTGGTTTTTGCGAGTAGTTTGATAGCCTCTTCTTCTGTTGCTACAGCTTTCAGCCCATCATCAACATAAAAGTCTTGCTGTATGAACTTGGCTGCATCTTGACCGATCACATCTGCCATGTCTGTTGCTATCTGTTTCAAACCAAAGTTGGCACATCCGGGGGATGAAGCAGCTCCGAACAGATGCACATTCATACGATAGTCAACAGGCTCTTGGTGGTAGTCTCCATTTGGCCACCAGAGGAAGCGTAAGCAGTCACGATGTTCCTTGTTGACATGAAACTGATGGACATTTCCTTTATGTCACACATGAAGGCCACTTTCTCTTTCCTAAACCTGCAAAGTACTCCAGCTAGTGCATTGGTCAAATCAGGACCCGTCAGAAGATGAGAGTTCAAACATTCCCCCTTAAATTGTGAGCTGCAGTCGAACACCATTCTGAGTTTCTTTGGTTGCTGCACTCCGTGGTGGGGAATGTACCATCGATTGCCTGATTCACCCGGTTCAGATACCCTCTCTGCATACTTCTTGTGAAGAAGGTTGTTCATTTGCTGTAGGTACCGATCATAATAGGTAGCATCATTTTCAAACTTCCTCTTGAGATGGTCCAGACGTTTAACGGCCACGAATCTGTTGTTAGGCAGTGTAGGCATCTCCTCCTCCTTAAACGGCAGCGGCATCTCATAATGTCCACTCTCTGTAATGTGGACCTCCTTCTTCATTAGCCTAATGAACTTCATGTCATTCTGGGAATAGGGTTTCTGTTTCCTATCTGGAGTGAAGTCAGCCTCTAGAAGTCGAACAACATGAAGAGGGGCTATCTCTTCCTTCATGTTAGCTGAATGAATAAAAATCACTTCCGATCGCTGTCCTTTCAGCTGCACCTCATCAGGCACAACTCGTACTATTGTGCGATGGCTCACACCAAAGGGATCGTTGTGACTGTCCGCATACCCTGCCTTTACTGTGCCAACAATGCTCCATCCTAGATCCGTCTGGATTGCGTATGGACCTCTATCATCAGGAGAGTGGATAACAGCACGTGGAGCAAGAGCCTTGGCACAGTCAGGAGTAGGGATGTGATTTCGATCTGCTGGCATGATGTCTCTCGCGAAGGTAGGAGGGAGGCTGATGATCTTCTTGGGGTCGTTGAATGCTTTCACCCGAAGACCAGTCACCTTTTCACTTGCAATTCTCTCATTCGCCCTGGTCATGGTAGAGAGTAGCAGGTTTACCCCTACTCCTTTGATTCCCATCGCCTCTTTAGTATTCGTGAGAATAAAGGATGTGTCTGATTGTGTGTCCAGCAGAGCATATACTAATCTATCCTTGTGGCAGGACTCATGAGACAGCCACACCGGAACTATCATTGATGACTTTGTAGAATGACTGGAATCAGAATTTGATGCATAGGATTTTGATTCCAAGGTTCTCTTTTTACCCCTTTCTCTGCTTGCAGCATCCTGTCGTCTTTCCTTCCACTCATCATCATGTAGAACAGTAGGATGTTTCCCTCTGCAAGAAGAGCATGTATTTCTCTTGTTACATTTCTTTGATATATGTCCCTTCTTAAGGCAGCCGAAACAGAGTCCATTGTCCCTCACAACCTTTCTTTTCTTCTGCATCGTCTCTGAATTGAAGGGAGAACATTCAGTGAGGTGATGTCGACCTTTGCAGAAGATGCATGTTAGAATCCCTCTCTCAGCAGAGCCATCTCTCTGATTCTGATGAGTTTCCGTCTGCATAAAGCTGGAAGTAGCTGATTTCTTCCTTTCATTCGAGGTCTGCAGGGATTGAAGCGAGGTTACAGGGTCATTAGCAACTACAGCTTCTTCTTCAATGAACTCGGTGAAAATAGAGAAGGGTGGGAATGTCCCCCACTCTCGCCTCCACTGCACAACCTTTCTGCTCCATTTCACGACCAACCAATCTGGGAGTTTCATCAGTAGCTTCCGGTTTTCTCTTTCATCATCAAGATGACTTAAGTGATGAACATACTTTGAAGCTGTGTCACACTGCTTCAAAAAGTCTCCAAGTCTCCTCAGACCAGATGCATCTCTCGAACCCACTCTTGGCCAGGAGTCTAGCTTATCTCGATAGGCATTGGATACCACAAATGGATCTCCGTATCTCTGCTCCAATACCTTCTTTGCCTCGTTGTATCCTGCAGCATCTCCAATCATGGAATAACCTTGAACCAGGGATTTCGGCTCACCACTGAGATACTTTAAAAGAAAGTAGAACCTTTCTTCGATGGGAATTCCTCGATGCTCGATTAAGGCGTCGTAGCTTCTCTTCCATGATGTATACTCAAGCGGATTGCCTGAGAAATGTCCGGGCTCCGGAAGAGGTAGTCTATTCAAGCAGAGCAGCTCCTTTAAACTGTTGGCGAGAACATCTTCGTTGCTGGACTTTTCTGCTGGTTGATGAATAACTTCATCATCTTTCTGAACTGCAGGCTCCATGGGAGAGACGGGTGCTTGTTCGTTGACCCAGTCTCGAACTCCTGGTTTTGGTGAGCCGGAACCAGACTTTGAAGCGTGAGTTCCGCCTTTTAACTGGATAATGATTCGCATGGTCTCTCTCATGAGGGATGAATGCTCCTCTTCCATCTCATCAAGCCTGTCTTCACCATCATCTTCGAGACTTGCTGAAGGTGCTAAATCAGCGAGCTCTTGTTGTACAACAATGGCTTTGTCCATAGCTTCCTGTACGTTGTTGCGGGATTCCTTGATCACCTCTGCTTTGATGTCGTCTTCTACAATAAGCTGTCGATGCTTATTTGCCATTCTACACCAAAGTCGAATAGCGACTTTCCATGACTTCGATGCGACATCAGCTTGGTGCTTGATACCCTTCTCTGTGGGTTTTCTATCCCTTTTGCTCGCTTCTTCTCCTTCAGACATGATGACGGTCTCTAGCTAGTGATGGAAGATTCACTTCTTGAAAGAGAGCTGTGCGCAGACAAAAATAAAATTGGGGTTATAAAAATGATTTACATTAGTGTCTATTTATATTTAAATAGATTGGATTGAATTATGGATCTTCCTAAAGAAGATGGGTTATAAAAATGATGTACATTAGTGTCTATTTATATTTAAATAGATTGGATTGAATTATGGATCTTCCTAAAGAAGATGGGGACTCCACTGTGGATTTAATGAGCTAACACAATGAATTAAATAAGAACAAACTAGTGACTGATCGAATGACTGTAATTTAACGGATTTATGTATGTATTCAGATCAACATGAAGTATTCAAAATGCTCTCTTTGTTTTTTCAGGGATGACTGCGGATCACTTCTCCTCCTACACCGCAACGTTTAAACTATTAGCTTTCATCGACGTCATCGTTCTCCTCCTAATAGTGGTCGTGAGATGCAGACCGAAAGCAATCCCGGTCTGAACATGCTGTATTGGAAGCGTCTTACATTATTATATCTTTTATAGTGAGGTCTAAAAGCGAGTTCAGGATTTGGCTTCTGTTTACATTATTAGCAAAATATTTTTTAACAAACCATTTCTTTTCCTTTTTCATAAAAGTATTTGGAGCATATTAGGTATCGGAAGCGTTAAGGCTTTTGCAACTTTTTTGTATTTAAACAAATATTTTTTTACAAACTTTGTTGGGCATGAAGATATTTGGAGCATATCAATAGAAAAAAGGGTAATCAACTGAATCATACTTGAAGATAAGGTGTGGTTCATACTTCATTGACTTATTTCTTATCATTTGACATGTAATTTATATGTATGTTTTTAAAACTTGTATGTAAGGGTTTCGGTAAATAAAAACAAACAAACAAACATGAAATAATGCATGACATTCTAATAAGTTTATTTATTGGTTTAATTATACATATTTGAAGAAATAAATGAGAGCTATATGCTATCTCAAACATGGACTACCTGAGTCAAACGTGTAGCACTGCTTGGTGTAATACGAGTTTGGGTTTTTATAATCTGGAATATACCGAGTACAGAGTTTAGTCGAAGAAATTCATTAACAGTATCATCATCCTTCAATAAGACAATATTAAAATCCCCAATTATATCAATATGCCTATGTTCATTACTTAATTTGTTAATAACATTGTAAAATTCAAGGAATATTTCATGATTTGATTCCGGCTTTCTATAAATAACACCAACAGTAGACCTTTTACGGTTTTTATCTAAAAAGTCAAACAAATATTCACATGTTAAATTGGTTTCTTGATTATAAACGATATCTGTCCTTATCATGCGCGGTTCCAGGATTTCTTAGGGGGAGGGGCCCAAATTTGAAATTATGCGAGCCAAATTTTGGTACGTAACGGTGACCAGCAGTGGCGTCATGAGCAAAAACTTTTTTTTTATTTGGAGGGGGGGGGGGGACAAAAACAAAAAAAATCCGCATCACCCCACTCTTACATGCAGGCCACGCTAATAAGTGGGTGGGGTAAGTATTTACGATCAGGTAGAGTGTAGCGTAAATTGGCCGGGGTCAAGGGGCGGAGCCCCTGGAAGCTTAGGGGGTATGGGCATTTAATTACGGTCAGATGGGCATATTTTGATACATTATACATGACACTGGCAGGTCACTAATTGGCGTGGGGTCCAGGGTGCCGAGCCCCCGGAAGCTCAGGGGTTTAGGCAATAAAATACGGTCAGATGTGCATTTAGGGGCCCGCCTTAGAGCCATTGGTGGGTTCGAGGAGGCGGAGCCCCCGGAAGCTCATGGATTTTAGGCGTTTAATTACGGTCAGATGAGGCTATTTTGATAGCTTATTTGTGACACTAGCAGGACACTTATTGGTGTGGGGTCCACGGAGCGGAGCCCTCAGAAGCTCTGGCGTTTTATCATTTTTTAACGGTCAGATAAGCATTCAGGGGCCCGCCCTAGGGCCCCTGGTTGGGTCGAGAGGGCGGAGCCCCCTGAAGCTCAGGGATTTTAGGCATTTAATTACGATCAGATGAGCATATTATGATACATAACTAGCAGGACACTAACAAGGGCGGATCTAGCTTTTTGCCAAGGGGGGGGGGGGGGATTCGCATTTCTCGCTACGCTCTACCCTTCCATTAATTATATAGCCCCCTCCCCACTTTGGAAGACGTTTCGCGGGCATGCATGTAAACATAAAAAGTGTTGGTAATGCGGATTTGCTTTCTTCCCTTCTGCCCCCTCCCCCCCCCCAAAGAAAGTTTTTGCTCATTACGCCACTGGTCTCTCGCATTTTGTACCCCCCCCCCCCCCCCCTGGTCATGAAAAGAGATCGCCGCTCCTGTGTATGTGTATGCCTCTATCACTTAGAATGTAATCACTAACATCACTTAAATGATTCTTCTCCTCTCCTTCTTCTTCATTTTCCTCTTACTTGTAGTTGTAGTAGTAATAGCAGCATGATTTCAAGACAATATCATGTTTGTCGATCATAGTTCTACATATCTTGATGTCCAGGCGCGTACGCACTGGGGGTTGGGGTCCCCCCCCCCCCCCAACGAAACAAAATATCGATCGGCCAAACTTTCAAATTTTGGGACAAAAAAAAAATGTGCTTTTAGAGAGAGAGAAATAAATAAATAAACAAATAAAAAAAAAAGGAAGAACATGAAACTCACTGCTTACAGATTACATTTCCAATGAGTTGGATCAACATGTGCCTACGAAGTTGCGAACGAAAGTACAACAATACGAAAATAGAAGTTCTATATATTTTCACACGCTAGTGAGGGGAATTTCTTGATTATTTCCAATGAAACCGATTGCGGAAAGCCTAGACTGTATTTTAAACTTTTTTGCACGTACTATAGTCAGGGGCGTCGCTAGACCTTTTCCAATGGGGGGAGGGGGCAGTGTATAGACCACCGATTACCGATTAAACTAGCCACCAATTACCGACAAATACATTAACGCCAATGTCTACAAATTTAACCCGATAAACCTGAGACCGGGGGTCAGGGGGGCGTTATTTTTTTTCTGCGGCATAGATTGGGGTTAGGTGCGTGTTGAGCCTATGGGAAAGGTTAGGGTTAGGGTTAAAATCAAGACCTCTTTTTAAAAGAAAGTCCCAATCTGTGCTGCAGAAAAAAAAATGACGCGCCCGGGGGCTATTGTTCCTATGAACTATCTATACCTGCGCATGCGCACATGGTCATTTCCTTTGACCTCATAAATTCGGTGTGGCGTGATCGGCAAGAGCGCTGCGCGTGAACACCAGAGTCAAGAGCTCGATTCATAGTTTTGCTATAATGGAACTTTTTTTTTCTTTTGCTGATATTATAGAGTACCGAACTCCGAAGCTGTGACAACATAAAAAATATTTTTTAGAATTTCCGCAATTAATTCAGATAGTCATATCTCAGCCAATGCATAACACATTAAATTGATTTTCGACATTTCGACATTATTTTTGATGCTCTTTCGGAATATGAAAGCAAAATTGAGAAATTCTAAAAATCAATGTTTGATGACGTCACACTTCACCACTCTATAGTAAGGTTGATAATGACAATTAACAATGATAAGTAATGATTGCTGGTGAAACTTCGAGAAAATACAAGTTTTTGGTTGTAATCTCTCTCAAAGTGGTCACAGCGGATGAAAAGTGTCAATTCGTATGACAAAAATATTCGCCAGCGCCAACCGACATTATACATATCTTGATAATCAGACAGGTGATCATTGCAGCAAGAATTAAATCCAGGATTTTGTTTCAGAATCTGAGACAAAGTTACTGGATCCCTTTATGATGGACCATTTCAAGAGAGACACAAATATCAATCATCCCTGATAATGTAATCACAGTCATGAAAATGTAGGGGGCATATACCAATGTCTCAATAATTATGGTAGATTTATCTGTTGATGTTTCTCTCTGTAGGTGGCCCTTATATTCCAGAAAGTGCCCTATTTTTCTGGTGCCCCCCCCCCCAGTCCATTTTAGAAAATGCTCAACCGCGCCTGTCTGTGCTTAAAGGTTCTGGTCATGCAATTGCATTGTGAAAGAAACGTGGAATCGATCAGAAAAGGTCGATCATCTAGCATACAAGTATCGGTGTATACTGCAAGGTTCTGGAATCATCAAAATGATAAGACATTTGGCCCAGTCTTTGTAAAGTTACAAGCACTGAACACCAAAAGATGTATATGGGACTACCCTATCTATCCAGTCCGATGGATATAATAATTTACCAAATATATCGATTAGTAGGCAGTTTCCCAGCAAAATTTGTATCATCACATATTAGTCAAAACATATTCTTTCACACGATTAGTAATAAGAGCTTCCATCTCATTTTTTGAGAGGGGGCGTTTCAAAAACAGGTCTTTAGCTGCAATAATGGGTGGACAATGTTATCTTGACCGTTTTGCAAATGAAAATAATTCCGAACAGAGGTAAAATTTTGGTTTAAAACTTTTAAACTCAAATAATAATTATGAAAAGGTATAGTGTTATTCTTCAATAAGAAATGCATTTGATAAATATCAACTCAACTCGTTGTTGTAAGTCTAGCCCCATCAACGTCTAAAAACAAGACAGACTGACAGCTCCATTAATATTTATTTTTTTCAGCGAGCGAACTCGACGTTTGACCCCAGCGCTCTAATTTCACCGCGCCGGGAGATAGGGGCGAGTCAATGTCGCTCTGCTGTAGATAGAGCTAAGGACACCACCACATACTTCGAATTCCGTCCTGAATTATTCTGGGCTTGTCAAAATACGGTGCCGTCCTCTGACTCGGCTTACGGGGGAGAGTATCATCATAATGTACACGCCAGACACTCTTTCTGGACTGTCAATAATTTCTCTCTCATGACTTTGGATAAATACCTGGATTTCTACGAGTCCGTGCTAAAGGCGCAGACGACCTTTTTCTTCAGCAACGTAATTTTGTTATTCACCGGGAATCTTCCTGCGT